ATTCCACCCGATAGCCCCTTCCTAAGAGCGTTAGGGACAACAGCTGCTCTCAAAGCCCCACCACAAACTGACACCCTAGCGCAAAGAGCCCTGGAGGAATGGGAACGCACTTTGTGTGAAAACAAGGCAGTGGCAATCCTCGCCGAGGTGCAAGCCGGCCGACCAACTATAATCCACAAAGATGGTGGCGAAATGCTTATTGCCATTGTCCTTGACAGGCCACTAGCGGAAGCGAAGGAACTAGTTGATGACCCTGCAGCATTCACTCGCGAAATGACGCGAATCCTGCGCGACAAGCAAACCCACCCACTCATCGCCCAAATGATGAGACCAGCGGAGAGCAGTGATCCACCCCCCGCCACTGCTGCAGTCAGTGGCGCTAGTGGCAGTAGAGAAGAGAACCTCGCACCACCTCACACGTGCAGTTCCAGTAAACCACTCGAGGTGACGTAGAGTACCCAAGTTTCCCATCCATGCATTCAGCCTGTACCTTAACTTAAGTTGAGCGGCGTTGTCACCATGGGGTACTCATGGTTGATTACTGCCCTCTGCGACTACCTTTGCTGTCAGCATGCCGGAGCCAGTATGGGACGGGAGGCGGTGGGGGGCGGTTATAATAATTCTTTTCAGGGTTTTTAAGTTGTTTTGTTCGTGTTGTTCTACCTTAATTGTTGCATGGTAGTGTAGTGTGATGTCAAAGTACATCTCGCCATGGTGCCTGTCGCCGTTTGACCTTCGCTCAACCAATTATTCGACCGGCCCAATGATCTTCACCACACCTTCACATGCCCTTTCCCGACCAAGGTTGCAACACGGTGCGTGCCAGTTGAATGCCCTGAGGCTTTACGTCTACCTACAAACCTGTAGACAACGCAGTCCTTTGGAATGGAACGACCGACTCCTATCAAAGACGCCGCTGTCCATCGTCTTGCAAAGTCCATTACTCAACTGACCCTCTGCCAGGTCACTACCAGTGAAGTTGATGAAGCCACGAAACTCCTAGAGAAAGCATGCCAGAAACTCCAAGGAATACAAAGTATCCCATCTCAGAGAGTCACTGATCTTGAAGCGTCCATACGCCAGCTCCGCCAGATCGGCTGTATATTGGATAGTTGTACGATATCTGCCAGTTACGAAGTAACCCAGGCGCAGAAAGCCATACTACAGCTTGATCATACAGCCAAAGGAGCCAGCACGTCATCGGAAGAGCTTAATGCGCAGATATCACCACGCACTGATGATGAGCACAATCTCCCATACCATGAGGACTATTGGCAAGAGTGGTGATTACCGCAACCACAATGGTGATTACCGCAACCACAATTTTGATGCTGATGCGAAGAAAAGACAACTGAGCACAGTGTCTTTCAGCCCTCGTGCAATACACATGGATAACCCTGGCCAATATGATGATTGGAAAAGCACTTCTGAGCGGACTCTGAGTGTGCCCTGAGTGCCGTAGCTTCCCTGTCTTTTTCACCTTAGATCATGTTTCACTCTCCTGTTTCACTGCGGTAGTTTTTCTCACCACTTTGTTGCGACCCGGCTTTGTCGGTGTTTGCTTCAAAGTGTCAGGGTGAATGTCATGCCGTGAAGGCTGCTCTTTGTGATCTCGGGGATCCTGGCTGGGGGGATCCCTGGTTTCCGCATTGAGCTTTGTTGCTTCCTGCACCCTGCTGTGGCCCATGGTGATTTTGTGGTTTTTCCTGTTGTTGCTTTGTTTTATGGGCCTGCCAATATGACACAAAAGTTGTCATCTGCATGCGCCGAGATGATACTAAGCTATCACCCCTTGCCTCAACAGATCTTTTTCACCCATAACTGGAACCTGTCACGTCACTGCTTTGTGGTTGTGTGGTTGTTTGTTTTTTGTGTGGTTTTTGTTTGTTTGTGTTTGTTTTTGGTGTTGTTTTTGCTTTTGTTTCTTTGTGTTTCGGTTCTTGTTCTCTGGTAACGTGACAAGGGAATAGGACTATGTATCGGTCCTCTACCAGTTTACTTTTGCGGCCACTACAGCTTCGGCCCCTGCGTGAATTAATTAATTAGTCTCAATGCAACATGCTTGGAAACATGTTGAACGACCTGGCGGAAGCCATACGGCGTTGGACGGAAAAAATGTCTACCTGCATTTTGATTGCCCAAACTCGCACAAAACGTAGGCCTCACTTCCCGCTCAAAAATGGCTCTTGTGAGATGCCCACGTGCATTGCGATTGCGCAGGCTCGCTCAAAGTCTGCGCCGCGGTGTGGGCCTGCGGCGTTTTCATTGTAAGTTCTTGCATAAACGGGCTCTTGTGGAGATCCTGCTGCATTCCTTTCAAAGAGATCCTTGCGTGATCGGGTACTGGCCCTTAGCAGAAGATCTTGTGGGGGCCCTGGTGAGATCCTGTCTAAAAGGTCCTTGCGTCAAACTCTCTTAAACTTGCTTTGTGGTAAAAGTGCTTGTATGAAAACTCTTGTGGGAGGCTCTTGGGAGGTTCTTGTATTAAGATCTTGCACGATTCTCTCCAGCAGCAGCAGATCCTTTTATGACCACCTCGTGAGCTTTTCCTAGGGGTCCTGGCATGAAGATCTTGGTCAACGTGTTTTACAAGTCCTTGTGAGAAGCTTTTGTGGAGATCTTAGTGATATGCTGTCAGAAGCTTTTGCATGATCCTGTACACGTCCTTGTGAGAAGCTCTTGAAGACGTTCTGGTGAAATCCTTTAGGTGTCCTTTCAGTCATAGTGGGGATCCTGTTGAAATCCTTCTCAAGAGACCTTGTGTTAAGATCTTGAGGATCTTCTGCATTGGTGTTTGTGTGATTTTCCTGGGATGCCCATAAAAAATTATTCTATGAAAATTTTGTGAGTTCTTTTATTTAGTTTTATGTAGTTCTATATAGAAGTTTGTGCTGCTGCAGTTGCGATCATGTTTAACGTCATTTGTTATTGTTCCATAGCTCTTGCTTGTATTTGGTACATTGGCTTCTTGCCCCCACACGCTGTTTGGGGCCTCTTGCCGGTGTAATTTTTTGGGTTGTTTCCAACATGTAGATTGCACGCAACAGCAGCCAAAACAGGAATCCAAATTTGACATGCAACCATTTGAATGATTATCATGGTTCAACCCTCTTCAACAAAATTTGTTTGTCCTCAAAACCTCCATCCAATTGGTGTCAGTTTTGGAAATTGTGAAAAATCAAATGCCATTTCCGTTTGCCACAAATGACACCATGATACCCCATGTTCTTCTTGGCACCATGCCAAACATTTTTCAGTGATCAAATTGGGCCGCACGACCCATGTTTAATTTTGTGTTGTTTCGGCAAAAACATGCACAGTCAAGACAATCTTGACAAACGTTTTTACCCAAACATACCACTGAATGGTTTTACCCAAACATATCACTGAATGGTTGGTTTTACGGAACACACGCACAAATTGCATTAATACTGTTTTCTGAAAAAATGAATGAAACAACCTGTGCAAAAAAATCCCAAAACCAGGATGTGCTGCCAGATTTTGCATCGTCACGCGACTTCTGCTTTGACGTTGCAATCCATAAAATGGGTTCGCGGTCATTGGGTGCTTGCGTGCAACTTGTCAAAACTGGACGAGTCCAGTTGTACATATTTGGGCCGGTTGTTTTTTTACCACAATTTTTTACACGTTTTTTTTGTGAATCAATTGTCACATGGAGGTCATCCGACCTCGAATTGCAAACACGCATGTGTGCGGTTTTGTGCAAACAAACAAGACGGTGTGGAGGGTGATTCGCATGCAAATTTCACAGTCGTTGCCGGCGCTGCCAGCATTCAAAATCATGTTTGGCCATGAAATAGCAGGTAACGTGTCCTTCACATATGACTGACAACATGATATGTCCGCATGTTTGCATTATTGGACAAAAATATCGTCAATATGACTGTTGAATCTAGCAAACAAACTGAAAAAATCCACCATGATACAAACGGGAACGCAAACAAGTGGAAATGCTGGATCGGGTAAAATCTCGACAATGAAACAACAAATTTTATTAAACATCGTTGTCTATTAGCGGTGCTCGCCTGCATGGTGTTGGTGACGACGAAGGTTGTGGCCTAGAAAGGCCCTATATGCGCTGAATTTGACAATCTTTGTTGCATGGGTACAACATGCAAAGACAGTTTGCACGGAACATACCGTTGCGCTGCCGAAAGCTTTGCGCAGCATTTGTGACGTCAGGCCATGCTGAACCTATCGTTCGAAAAACCTGAGGCCGCTGAATTTGGGTGTTGTGGGTGTTGGCACAACTGTGGCTTGGTAACAAGTGACAGCCGCTTGAACTGCTGCCAGGTGACCACTGTGATCAGGTGGTTGCTTCGCTTCATTCTCGTCATTTTTTTGGCCTGGTTTGGGCCTTGGACACAAACCCTTTCACAGCAAATTTATTGATTTTTTGGTTGCTCCAAAGTTCGATTTTCAGTTGTTTCCATTGACCCGCACAATCATTTGTATGTTACTGTTGTCAATTTATCAAATCGCATGGTATGGAGCTTACAACAAATCGTTTGATCAATCAAAAGTACTTGTCCAAACTTTGGCCAGCGAGGCTTGTGCGACAACGCACAGAGCAGGCTTGTTTGCAAACAGGGACTAGTTTTTGTATGCATTCTTTCTGTCATAGCAGTGGATATTTCATGCAAGTGAACCAGAGCAAAACCTTCAATGGTCCTGGAGATTTTTTTTAAAACTAATTGCATCTTCCCAAATTGCAGCTGGAACTGCAGCTGCAGCTGGAGCTAGGAGGAGGAAGACGAGTGCGAGGAGAATGATGAAGTGACCGATGCCAGGGCACGGTCCAACGGCCTCAGGCTAACTGATGCGACATGACGCGACATTTTTTTCCAATTTTGGAGTGTAAAACTGTGTGTGTTGTTGTCGTCTGTTTATGTTGTTTGCGAAATTTCTCGGTTCAACTTTCCTCAAAAAAAACGTCGCTTGCAAGTGTTTGCTTTGACCAGTCATATCTTCTCTGTCAGGTCCAGAGGGAACACGCGGCCGACCAGACTTCAGCCTCGTCACCGCCCAAAATGCAGTGCTTTCAATGCTGTTTTCTCATGCCCCCGGATTTGAATGCAGGAACTCGCAAAGCAGTTGGGGAGAATGGACAATTTCAGAAAGGGTTGGATACTCGACCATTGGTCGCCACACGTTGCCCCAAGGACGCGATTCGCACGGTCCCCAGAGACAGATGTCAACTGTAGATGGGCCTTGAAGGCTCCAAGTTACCAAAACAACCAACTACGAATTTGTTTCTCAAACCTCTGCCGAAATGCGTACCATTTTCCCACCCTGACTTGACAGGTACAACGCTGCAACCCGACAAAGAAAAGGGTTGTCCACCAGCAACGATCCCGCTGATTTTGACTCGAACATTGACAAGGCACGCCATCTCCATCCTCTTCCCTGTTCTTTTTCGGTTTGGACATGGGGGATGGGTATGTTTTTGAATTTTTTGCACTCCAAGAATCTAAAAAAAAATCTCATCGGTTTACCTTATTTCATCATTAACCATTATTACTGTAACCAATCGTTATCCCATCATTATCTCATCATTAACAATTATATCCCATTGTCATCCATTGTTCAGGGGACATTTAGTTCGCAAACTCCGAGCTACGGACGAATGTCCATGGCTAGTTTTGTTATCAGGTCAACCACAAAGGTCGCAACAGCATTTCGCAGGTGGGAACACTAGAGGAGAGTAACAATTCGGGAGCATGTGAATTTGCGGGTGAAACCACTTTCGCGCGCGAAACCATGTGTTTTTACAAGTATGGTGGCTCCTGGGGTCGCGAAAGTGGGGTCTGTGTCTCTAGTTTCTGGGCCTCGATCTGGGAAAGCTGTTGACAAAAAATGCACGAGACTTTCGCGAGAGCTCGATTTGCACTTCAAAATGTTAAAAAACGAAGGGAGTTGGGATAGCGCTGGATTTGTGCGCAAGCTATTTCTGCTCCGACACGGCGTCGGTTTGATGGTCCTTTGCGGCCGGGATTGCAAGTGCTTGTGACAAAACGCATTGGCACGGATGCGCGCAGGAAAGCAACGCCACTGCTGCTGCAGCCATCCTGCTTTTTGGTATAGCAGCTGGAAGGTTTGAAACGCATTGTCAAGGCTCCGGGAAAGGTACCTCATGAGCATAGTGCTACTCTTGTGCTAGGTGGGATTGTAGCTGGAGGTTGCTAATTGCAATGTAACAGCTGCGTGAAGAAAAGAGCCGGGCTACAGACCAGGTAGCTAAGAGGAGGAGGAGGTGGCTCAGAGCAGAAGCGGGTCAGAGAAGAAGTAGCCCAGAAAAGAGGCTGCTCGAAAAGAAGTAGCAAAGCGAAGTCAGCGAAGAGGTGGCTCAGTGAAGAAGTAGCTCAACAAAGAGATAGCTCACTCCTCCATTTGTTCGTTCATTATTCGTTCTTTCATTGATTCACTCGTATATTCACACGTTCTATTGGTTGATAGATAGATTGATTGGCTGCTTGGTTGATTGATTCTGGTTTGTGGTTTGGAACATTTTCTATTTTTCCATATATTGGGAATAATAATCCCAACTGACTAACAATTTTCAGAGGAATTGAAGCCACCAATCAGGGTTGATTGATTGATTGATTGATTGATTGATTTTTTTATTCATTCATTCATTCATTCATTCATCCATCCATCAATCCATCCATTCATTCATTCATTGATTGGTTGGTTGATTGATCGGATGAGGATGAGCAAACATTTGGGAAGGATTCGTCCCTGGATTCCTTGGCAAACGTGATTGAGAACCATCCTAGTTTTGATAGGTACCCAAGTAGCTTGACCTATTGGACTTAGTGCAATTTTTCACCCAGTTTAGCGACATGACAAGTTCAACCCCAATGTTCGCAGCTCTTTGTTCCCAAAGATAGGATTCGATTTACTTCTGTATCGTTTGTTTCGCTTCAATTATGCAGCTGGTGCTCTTGACAACTGCTGTGGCTGCAAGTCTTGGCCAGACGGATGTGTCAACATGTGGTGCTTTTTCCAGCACGGACGGCAAGTGACAGTTCAGCCTTGCTCCAAGTGGCCTCCGTGCGCGAAACCTTTCCTTGTCACAAGTAGTGAGGCTGCAGGAAACAGGTGCCAAGACCTCGCGGTTCACCTTTTGGGTTTGCTGGACCGAAGCATCAGCAGCTGATCGATTATTTCAAGTATGTTTATTTTCCGTTCTTTTTGGGATCATGATCCCATTTGATTTTTCTTGCGAGCGTTGAAACAATGAACCTGGAATGACATGGTAATGGCTTCCATGGACGACTGGCACAGTTCGCGGGATTTGGCCTGTGTCTGGGGGGTACAGAATGTGAGCATTTCCCGAAAATTGACCGCGCAGATCTACAGTGCTGTGCCAGTGTTTGGAGAGGATGAGACTTACATTGCTTTAGTCGTGGAACACAACTGTGATGCTCAGTCGGGGGGATATAGGGCAAATGGATGGGCGCAAAATTTTGACATTTTGGTCATGCTCTTTGCTGGACCTGATGGATCACACAAAACGCAATTGATAGCACGTGGGCAGTCATGGGTGTATCCTTGGCCACGCGACGAACGGGAGAGCAAACAATTTGAGGTCTTGTTGGAGGACAAAACTTGAACAAACGTCGGCATGGTTCTGGCAGAACCTGATCCAAAAATATTGGGGTACCTTGTTTTTTTTGTTTTTGGTTATAAGTTATAATTATACATGTTTGAATGAACCTCGACATTGATACATGGCATAAGAACAAGGTTCTTGCGATTCGTGTTGATTCCTGTTGGTTCCCAAAGCAGCATATGAGTTGAAATCCGGACAGTTGCGATTCAATTCCTTTGCGGCTTGGTTATCATCGATGTCAGCTATCCGGTTCGTGTTGCAGCAGTTTGTTTCAATGATATTTTTGTTGAACATTATTGTGGTTGAATTAAGTATCATCCGAAATACCTCAAGGAAAAAAACAATAAGCCTCTGGTACAGAGAAAAGCGGGTGTTGCTGCCTCCGAAAAAAAACACAAGTGTTCCTCTGTGGTTTCCTTTCCTGGTTTTCCTTCGTGGTCTTCATTCTGGTTATTACACGCGTGGCCCAGCGTGTCCCCTGCAAGTTTCACACATGACATGCGCAACTGTGCTCTCTCCGCAGCCCCGTCCTTTGCAGTTCAAGAGTTGCTGCCGCTTTTCAGTTTTCAATGTATCAAGGGACACACGAGCCCGGGCCCAGGCCAAGCGGGAGCATGAATCCAACAGAACGCACACCACCGCCACCACCATGTGTGCTCAACCATTTCCAACATTCGCCAGTTGCCGCTTCGGGGGCCAATTTACTATCGAAATCGGTCACATGTGTTTCATGTGTGGCACCAACTCGTGAGATGGGTTGAAACTTGCAGTCACCTACGGAGACACAACATTGCAACGATAAATTAGTCAAAGCTTGCGCTTTTTGTCGGTCCTGGATGATTTAGGTTGGCTGCGGTGGTTTGTCAAAATGATGGAGTGATTTAGGTTCAATTCCCGACTTGGTATGCTCCTACATTGCACAATATTACCGTTTCTTTTTTCTTGTTGGGGAGAAGATGTTGGTGACCCCCTCACGGTTGAATAAAGTTCAGTATCGTCTTTCAATGGAGCAATTCTTTGGGCTCGTGGTCCAGTCTCCGATTCAGCGATGCACAGCATGTTGAATGGTCATTGATAGTGCTTGATGCAAGTTGCCTCAGAGGTTTTTCGTGCAGACTAAAAACTGCCACTTCTGACAATCGTTGCCTTTGGCTGTATGCTTGGCCTGCGCAGTTAGATTCTTTGTGGGTTTGCGCAAGACAAAGTTGGACATGAAGGTCATCCCTGACAATTTGTTTATGAACTTGTCATTGTCACCTGGTGCTTGGGCAGGTCCGATGCCATAACTACAATGCTGCGCTAAAGACCCTTAGGTTCTGCGCTTCTACAACTTTGAAAGCCAGTTTCTCAATTCAGCAAACCTCAGCTTATACCATGCGCGGTGCGAACGCAATTGTTTTGCCCTAGGCAGCTGAACTTTTGGAAGTGTGCTGTGCCGGGGCATCGCCGGACCAATCCCTCAGTTGAGTTTTCTTCTCGCGATGATGTGCGTGCAGCCCTGGCATTGCAGGAACGTATGGTTGAAAAATGATTGCGGGCTGTGGGCGTTTCCGTCCTGGTGTGTGTTTGGCCACATCTTTCACGAACCCAAACACTCAGAAAAGAGTCTTCAATCCAAACACACAAGATTTGTCCTCAGGCACAGCGATGGCAATGTGGGGAAGTCACCATATACCCGTCAAAAAGCCGGAGCACCAATGAATCCTTGGTGAGTTGATGGAAGATGGCGATATGTATAGTTTTGTGACACCCCTTGACTCGAAATTTTTGTTTGCGTGGGAACATCACGATAAAACATTCATCTTGCATGGAAGGTGGTGGGAAATGCCATCCACGATTGTCATTCCATTTTAAGGCCGTGGGTGGTCTTGAATTTCTCATGTTGGCTAAGAAATCAGAAACAAGCCGATTTGCAGGAAGCCATGACCAGGCATCAGGGATTGTCCTGGACTGTGGATATGATTGAAGCTCATGAAGATGAACTTGGACTCTTTCTGGTTTGGGCTGATCCAAGCGATATTACAGGAGATGACATCGAGCCGTCAAAAGGACGCAGACTGAATATGAAGACGAAGAAGAGTTCAACATTCCTCTTCCTGGTGGGGCCACCCCAGCGGTTGAAAGGGATGACGCTTCGCTGTATCACTTGCTCGTAAACCCCATCACAAAGTCTTCAAAGCCGGATGAGATCACAGCTGCGTATGACATTAGAAACAAGAATCTGATCGTTGCAAGAATATGCGCATGCCCCGATACACGCGAATCTTTGGAAGTTTTCTTGGCCATCCCTGACCAAAAATTCATTGCCAGAGTGTCTATTGGAGGGCCTGATGGAGAAGTTCATTGACTATCATGAACAATAACACCCATTTGTAGAGGTTCGGACTTTTCGTGGTCTTTTTTTTGGAAACCATTCTGGTCCCACATGGGATGAGATTCTTTGAATTGTTCCTTGCACGCCATTGGGGATGGGAGATATTTTGAGAATATGGAGCTTAGATTCCTCCTGACACGCTTATTTTCCGAGACACCAAGGTGAGATCCAACCAAACATGGGGAAGCTGTGTTTTTCTGCGTGTCACTGTCGCCAACTGAAAACTGGGATGCATGCCCGGAGGAGCATGAACCTGCAGGGACGAAGATGGGTCCCGACTTTGATAGGTTTCATTTCCATCAATTTAAACGCTGCATCACTGAACTTCTTCAGGACATTGGTTTAGGAGATGTTTGACATGGTTGTGTTCAATTGGAAGGTTGATAAAAAAGTGCAATTTTGTAAACTTGCCGTTCATGACTATTGATGAAGTTCTGTTGTATGAGCAACCCAACGTGATGCCATTGATGGGAATGGACATTGGGGATGGATTCAATTTCACATTGATCTTGTTTTGGGGAAGATGATCTGTATATATATATATAAATGTATATCTCATCATCACCCATGATGAAGACATGCATCGACAAGGCACAACCTCAAATCAAAAAACAGACCCATGCCAGCAGGTGAATTGGAAGGCAGTATCCCAGGTTTTTTTGCAGTTCTGCGGTATTGCATGGATTGGAAACAGGCTTTGAAAGGCAAA